ATGGATAAGAACTCACCAACCAACTATCTGCTGCCTTCAGGAGACTCACCTAACACATAATGACTCATGTTACCTGAAAGGGGAGGAAAAAGGCATTACATGCAAATGGACACCAAAAGTGAGCAGGGGTAGCTACTCTTAGACAAAACAAACTTTAACGCAATAGCAGTTAAAAGAGACAAAGAGGGACATTATATAATGGTAAAAGGCCTTGTCCAACAGGAGAATATCCCAATCCTCAACATATATGCACCTAACACCGGAGCTCCCAAATTTATAAAACAATTACTAATAGACCTAAGTAATGAGATAGACAGCAAGACAATAATAGTGAGGGACTTCAGTACTCCACTGACAGCACTAGATAGGTCATGAAGACAGAAAGTCAACAAAGAAACAATAGCTTTAAACTATACCTTGGAACAAATGTACTTAACAGATACATACAAAACATTTCATCCAACAACCACAGAATACTCATTCAATTCAATAGCACATGCAACTTTCTCCAAGATAGATTATAAAATAGGGCATAAAACAGGCCTCAATAAATGTAAAAAAAAAATTGAAATTATATCAAGCACTCTCTCAGACCACAGAAGAATAAAACTGGAAATCGAATCCAAAAGGAACCTTCAAAATTGTGCAAATACATGGAAATTAACCTACTCCTGAATGAGCATTGAATTCAAAAACAAAATCAATATGGAAATAATAAATTGTTTGAACTCAACAACATTAATGACACAACCTATCAAAACCTCTGGGATACAGCAAAGGCAGTGCTAAGAGGAAAGTTCATAGCCCTTAATGCCTACATTAAAAAGACCGAAGGAGCACAAATTGACATTCTAAGGTCGGACCCAAAGGAACTAGAGAAACAAGAACAAACCAAATCCAAACACAGCAGATGAAAGAAAATAACCAAGATCAGAGCAGAATGAAATAAAATTTAAACAAAAAAATAAAAAAGATAAATGAAACTAAAAGCTGGTTCTTTGAAAAGGTAAATAAAATTGATAGACCATTAGCAATATTAACCAAGAAAAGAAGAGAGAAAAATTCAAATAACCTCATTAAGATATGAATTGGGAGATATTACAACTGACACCACAGAAATACAAAAGATTGTTCAAGGCTACTATGAACACCTTTACACACATAACCTAGAAAACCTAGAAGAGATGGATAAATTCCTGGAAAAATACAGCCCTCCTAGGGGGTGGAGGAAGAATTAGATCCCCTGAACAGATGAATAACAAGCAGTGCAATTGAAATGGTAATTTAAAAATTACCAACAAAAAAAGTCCAGGACCAGACAAATTCACAGCAGAATTCTGCCAGACATTCAAAGAAGAAATGGTGCCAATCACTTTGATATCATTTTATAGAGAAAGAGGGAACCCTCTCTAATTCATTCTATGAAGCCAGCATTAAGCTAATACCAAAACCAGGAAAAAACATAACCAGAAACTACAGACCAATATCCCTGATGAACATAGAAACTAAAATCCTTAACAAAATACTAGCTAACTGAATCTAACAACATATCAAAAAGATAATCCACCATGATCAGGTGGGTTTCATATCAGGGATGCAGGGATGGTTTCACATATGCAAGTCAATAAATGTGATACACCACATAAACAGACTTAAAAACAAAAATCACATGATCACCTCAATAGATACAGAAAAGGCATTTGACAAAATCCATTACCATTTATGATTAAAACTCTCAGCAAAATCAGCATATAAGGAACATACCTCAATATAATAAAAGCCATACCTCAATATAATAAAATAATATGACAAACCCACAGCCAACATAAAACTGAATTCTACATTGAAAGCATTTCCTCTGAGAACTGGAACAAGACAATAATGCCAACTCTCACCACTCCTCTTCAGTGTAGTACAAGAAGTCCTAGCCAAGCAATCAGACAAGAGAAATAAATAAAGGACATCTAAATTGGTAAACAGGAAGTCAAACTGTCACTGTTTGCTGATGATATGATTGTTTACCTCAAAAACTCTAAAGATTCCTCCAGAAAGCTCCTAGAACTGGTAAAAGAATTCAGCAAAGTTCCCAGATACAACATTCATGTACACAAATCAGTAGCTCTTCTATACACCAACAGCAACCAAACTGAGAATCAAATCAAGAACTCAACCCCTTTTGCAATAGTTGCAACACACACACACACACACACACACACACACACACACACACCCATGTAGAAATATACCTAACCAAGGAGTCAAACAACCTCTACAAAGAAAACTACAAAACACTACTGAAAGAAATCACAGATAGGGCCAGATGCGGTGGCATCTGTAATCCAAACACTTTGGGAGGCCGAGGCAGGTGGATCATGAAGTCAGGAGATTGAGACCATCCTGGCTAACATGGTGAAACCCCAACTCTGCTAAAAATACAAAAGATTAGCCGTGCGTGGTGGCAGTTGCCTGTAATCCCAGCTACTTGGGAGGCTGAGGCAGGAGAATTGCTTGAACTTGGGAGGCAGAGGTTACAGTGAGCAGAGATCGCACCACTGAACTCCAGCCTGGATGACAGAGCAAGACTTCGTCTCAAAAGAAAAAAATAAAGAAGAAAAGACAAAGAAGTCACAGATGACACAAACAAATGGAAACACATCCCATGCTCATAGATGGGTAGAATCAGTATTGTGAAAATGACCATACTGCCAAAAACAATCTACAAATTCAAAGCAATCCCCATCAAAATATCACCATCATTCTTTACAGAATTAGAAAAAACAATTCTAAAATTCATTTAAAACCAAAAAAGGTCTCACAATGCCAAAGCAAGACTAAGCAAAAAGAACAAATCTGGAGGCATCACACTACCTGACTTCAAACCACACTCCAACACCTTTGTCACTAAAACAGCTTAGTACTGGTATAAAAATAGGCACATAGACAAATGGAACAGAATAGAGAACCCAGAAATAAACCCAAATACTTACAGCCAACTGGTCTTCAACAAAGCAAACAATAACAAAGTGGGGAGAGGATATCCTTTTCAACAAATGGTGCTGGGAGAATTGGCTAGCCACAGCAGGAGAATGAAACTGGATCCTCATCTCTTACCTTATAAAAAAAAAGCAATTCAAGATGGATTAAGTAAGGACTTAAATCAAAGACCTGAAACTATAAAAATTCTAGAAAATAACTTTGGAAAAACCCTTCTAGACATTGGCTTAGGCAAGGATTTCATGACCAAGAACCCAAAAGCAAATCCAATAAAAACAAAGATAAATAGTTTGGACTTAATTAAACTAAAGAACTTTTCCATGGCAAAAGGGACAGTAAGCAGAGTAAACAGACAACCCACAGAGTGGGAGAAAATCTTCACAATCTATCTCTGACAAAGGACCAATATCCAGAATTTACAATGAACTCAAACAAATCAACCAGAAAAAACAAAATTCCATCAAAAAGTGGACTAAGGATATGAATAGACAATCCCAAAAGAAGATATACAAATGGTCAACAAACATATTAAAAATGCTCAACATCACTAATAATCAGGAAAATGAAAATCAGAACCACAATATATACTATATTATAGTATATAAGTAGAAAAATGAGTTTGAGGAAGCACTGCCTTTAAGTCTTTTTAAACAAAATTGTACTATCTACTTGGATGAGAGGAAACAGATTACACAACAGTAAAGACTCAATCCAAATTATTTCAGTTTTCATTTCTACGTAGGCATGTATTAACATAACTTTAGAGTCTAAATGAACTAATAGAGCTCACTGTAATTTTTTTCTTTTAAAAAAATTCCAGATTATTGGGATACAGGTGATTATATATAATCAATGAGTAGATAAATACACTACGGTGTGCATATATATATAGATAGATAGATATATGATGGAATATATTCAACCAGAAAAAGGAACAAATTAATGAGATTTACAGCAACCTGGATGAGACTGGAGACTATTATTCACAGTGAAGTAACTCAGGAATGGAAAACCAAACATCCTATGTTCTCACTGATACGTGGGAGCTAAGCTATGAGGATGCAAAGGCAGACGAATGATACAATCGACTTTGGGGACTGGGGAGAAACATGGGAGAGGAGCAAGGAATAAAAGACTACAAATAGGGTACAGTGTATATTGTTTGGGTGATGGGTGCACCAAAATCTCACAAATCACCACTGAAGAACTTACTCTTGTAACCAAATACCACCTGTATCCCAATAATCTATGGAATTGTTTTAAAAGAAAAAAAATTGCAGTGAGCTCTATTAGCTCATTTAGACTCTAAAGTTATGTCAATACATGCCTACGTAGAAATGAGAACTGAAATAATTTGGGTTGAGTCTTTATTGTTGTGTAATCTGTTTCCTCTCTTCTAAGTAGACAGTACAATTTTGTTTAAAAAGACTTAAAAGCAATACTTCCTCAAACTCATTTTTCTACTTATATACTATAATCCTCCCATTTAGAGATTACTTTTTAAGGTTTCATCTATAAGGAATGTAGAGATAAAATATAAATGTTTGTCTGGCCATGGTAGCTCATGCCTGTAATCCCAGCACTTTGGGAGGCTGAGGTGGGTGAACCGCTTGAGCTGAGGAGTTTGAGACCAGCCTAGTCAACATGGCAAAACCTTGTCTCTACAAAAAATATTTAAAAATTGCCAGCACTATGGCATGTGCTTGTGGTCCCAGCTACTCAAGAAGCTGAGGTGAGAGGATAGCTTGACCCTGGGAGGTCAAATTTGCAGTGAGCCAAGATTGTACCACTGTACTTGAGCCTGGGCAACAGAGTAAGACCCTGTCTCAAAAATAAATAAATAAATAAAATGTTTTCAATATAACTAACATTGAACCAACCTCACCTCATAATGGTTTTCAATAAAAACATCTTCCTTCTCCAGTGTTGGACACAGTAGTCTAGTTAGCTAGGCCTGAAGTAGACAGCCAAGAGCTGCTGGTCTTTACTTTTTTTTTTTTTTTTTAAATCTTCAGGCTTTCTATTACTGATGAACCTCCTAGGAAGAGAATACTTTTGACAGAAATTTAACTGCCTCTTAAAGACACTGCTTCAAGCCACCATTTAAGATGCATAATATACGTAGTACAATAATTATCAGCCTGAAGTCACCTTAAGATCATGGACTCTCCATGTTAGAAGGGGCTTTACAAACTATTTAATATGGTGATTCCTAAACTTGGCTTCTATCACTATTACCTGTGGAGCTTAAAAAAATTTTCTATCCTCACCATAGCCTTCTGAATAAAAAGCTTCAGAGGTGAGCCCTTGGAATCTGTATGTTTTATAAATTTACTAGGTGATTCTAATGAAACTAACCTTTCATCGTGTGGATAGATGTTTAGATATAATCAGTTCAAAACTCAAGCTGTTACATAAACTTAAAAGCCTTCAGGGGCCAGCCAAGTAACAGAAGTGTGAGAAGCAGTCCTGTGTAAAACCCAAGAAAGTGGTAAAATTGAGAATGATGAGAGCCTGGAGTCTAACAAAATCAAATTAATCTTTTCAAAACTTTGTAGTTATCAGAGTTTTCAAACAGAGATAATGGTATAATGGTTGCCCATTCATGCAGACCACAGATAGAACTATTAACAATATTTTGCCATACTTGTTACATAGTCTCTTTTTTCTTCTTTTTCATTCTATAGTCTTTTAAAAAGATGTCTTCACTGGGTATAAAATTCATGGCTAACAGTTTATTTCTTTTAGTACTTTAAAGATGCTCTACCACTGTTTTCTCACTTGCATTGTTTCTGATGATAAATCTTTATACTTTGCTCTATATATAACGTATTTTTCCTCTGGCTGTTTTTAAAATTTTCTTTTTATTACTGACTTTGAGCAATTTGTTTCTTGTGCATGGAGTCTGTAGAATTCTTGGATCTGTGGACTTACACTTTTTAGTCAAATTTGAGAACAGTTTAGCTATTTCAAATATTCTTTTGAAACTCCAATAACATGTACACTAGACTGCTTGGTAGGTTGAGGTTGTTTTCACTTACAAAAAAATTTCTCCCCATTTCATTTTACATAGTTTCTATTGCTATGCCTTCAGTTCCACTAACCCTTTCTTCTGCAATATCTAATATCCTGAGAATACCATCAGTGTATTTAAACAATCTCAGACACAACAGTTTTCACATAGAAGACTGATTTGGGTCTTTTTCATATTTTTCATGTCTCCACTTAATATGTTGAATCTTTCTTCTAGCTTTTATAACATATGGAATATAGAAAAATAACTATGTTTATGTCCTTGTCTTCTAATACTACCATCTGTGTCATTTCTGGGTCAGTTTCTATTGATCAATTTCCCTCCCCATTTGGGGTCATATTTTTCTACACTTTATGTCTGATAATTTTTGACTTAATGCCAGACATTGTTTTACCTTGTTGAGTCCTGGATATTTCTATATTTCTACAAATATTTTTAAGCTTCTTTCTGGGATGTAGCTAAATTGCCTGAAAACAGCTTGGGTGTTTGGGGGCTTATTTTTGAGATTTATTAGGTGGAACTAGAGTAGCATTTAGTCAATAGCTAATTATTGCCACTACTGAGGCAAGATCATTTGGAGTGTTCTCAATTCTCTGAGTTTGGAAGTTTTCCAGTCAGTCTGGTTGGAACAGAAACTATTTCTGGACCTGGGTAAGCTGTACATAATGTTCTTTTCTTTCCTCTCTGGTCTTGGGTAGTCTTCTTCCCACACACACTGAATACTCAAAAAGGATGCCTTGCAGATATCCATATACACTCTCTGTTCATCTTTCTCCTGACACTTTGCCTTGTGAACTATAGCCACTTTGGACTACAGAACCCTTAGTTTCACCTTCTCCATCTGGGGTTCTTATCCCTGTATTAGGGCCTAGAAATTCTCTAGGCACTAAGTTGGGCAATCATGAGCTTACCTTATTTTTTCTCTGTCTCTCAGGGTTCACTTTCCATTGCCTTATGTTCAATGTCTTGATAACCACTGGTTTATATACTTAATCCAGGTATTATTCTTTCTTTTAAGAAAGGAGGAAAATCCAGTCCTGTTACTCCATCTCAGTTGGAAGTAGAAGTTCCACTAGTCTTTGAAGTAAAGCTATAACATCATGCCAGTCCAAATTCTGAATGTTTCTAAAATATGAGAAAATTTTCTTATATAATAGAAATGATTATAACAGCTAAGAGTTAAAAACAATTCTTTAATATCTAATAGCTAGGTCATATTCAAATTTCCTTAATTATCTCAAGTGTTTTAAAAGTTGGTTCAAATTAGGCCCCAAGCAAGGTCCACATGTTGTATTTGATTTCCGTGACTCACATTTCTAGAACAGTCTCCCCTCCATTTCCTTACGTCGTTGAAGACACCAGATTTGTCTTTAGGTCTACGTTTAGGGTATGGCTGATTGCTTCCTCATGGTGTCATTTTACTTGTTTCCATTTCACTTATTAGATCTAGACCAAATTTGTCAAACCCACAGCCTGCGAGCTGCATGCAGCCCAGGATGGCTTTGAATGTGGCTTAACACAAATTCATAAACTTTCTGAAACCATTGAGAATTTTTTTCTAGGTCATCAGCTATCATTAGTGTCAGTATATTTTATGTGTGGCCCAAGACAGTTCTTCTTCCAGTGTGGCCCCAGCAAGTCAAAGATTGGATACCCTTGATCTAGATGTTAGAGCTATTAGACTGACCAGGTTCAGTCTCAGCTTGACAAGCATATTTTATAAATGACCTTGTGTGCCTCACATTGCATTATAGCAGAAGGCATGCAATGTCTGAGTCACTTTTACAGGTGGTAGGATTGATCAGTGGATTCAGGTGGTGGCAGCTCGAGCCTTCCGCTTTTAAATTCTCTATCAACCCTTTCTCCTAATGGTTTCAGTGTCCATTGATTATTGTAGCCTAAAATCTATTAGCATTTGTGAGATAGTTATTTTCTTACCTCATCATTACTTCTTCATTTATCAACTGAGTCTTCTGGAAAAGGAAACTTTCCTTATAATTAGGATGATGTGTTTTTCTTTAAAACGAGCAATACACACACACACACACACACACAGGCACACACGTATAGAGAGAAATGAGTTGATGTTCTACAGCGTGTGTGTGTGTGTGTGTGTGTGTGTGTAACATTGCCTTGCCAAAACCAAATGCCATCTGAAAGTGAGTCAAGCAAGGAGACTGCTAGCCTGCAGTCTTGGTGCTCTTTTCCTGTTTTCCAGAATAAGCCTCACCTCCAGCAGCGGCAGCAATGGAGATCTTACTGAGGCTACCCATTCCAGCCTTATGCAGCTCTAATGTTGCAAAGTTCTTTATAGTGCTTAAATATCTTAAATATGGCAAGATGTTTTAAGAAGTCCAGTTACTGATGAAGCCAAAGTGTAGCCATGGAAGGATGTCCAATTAAGATTAACCTGTAATCTTCACCTGCTCTCTCAAAGGCCACCACAAATATAAAATTAATAAGGAGTACAGTTATATGCAAATCACCTTTGTGGCAAGTCCTCTAGACTTCACCTTCTTATTGATGGCTACCCCTACGCCCCTCCTAAACAGGAATTTTAAAGTTGCCACTGAATGTAAACCTTCTTCCAGAGAACAGGCCTTTATATATTTGAATATGAAAATATAGTCAATTTCTCCTTGCCCTCCTGGAAAGCCTGATCTTCTCTGACCTTTTTAATGTGTGGCACCTTGAACCTCTTGTGGTACCAGGACAGTACAGAGGACACTGGATATCATCACCCTCTTCATTTCTGCTGCCCCACTTCTATTAATTTGGCAGGGATACAAAATTTGAAAAATTCTAATGTGTATTTTACCTCTGCATTTCCAATTCCATCAGAGGCATTCATTTACCTTGAGAGGTTTAGAATATTATAGCAAGGATAAAAAGAGGAAATATGCAGCGTCTGAGTTTGCAGCAAAACAAGAATCATAGATTTTGTCACTTGAGAAATTATTTTTTGTTTCTTAAACTCCAATTAAAATGAAAAATCAGTAGCAGAGAGAACTCAGGAAATGAAGAAATATTTCTCCCACCCCTGGAAAATGTGGGAAGGATGAAAGATGAGAAGAGGAGAGATGTATGGAAGTAACAAGGTCTAGACAGTCATGAAGAAATTTAAAAACATAGAGGCTGGTAGCCTGCCATTGCTGCCCATAGAGCTGGGCAAGAGGGTCTTCTGCACTTCAGAGGATCCCATTCTGGTGCTTCTCTCCATAAGGTTAGGAATCAGTGGGGGCCCTTTCTAGACTATACCCCAAGTGCCAGAGATCCTGGAATTCCCTACTCCAGTCCACTTACAGAACCTGCCTGGGTTTCTTCCCTGGGTCATTTTTTGATTAGGCTGCCAAAGTATGTGGTCCCCTAGGTCCAAGGTGTGATGAAAGAGCAGTTTGGGGGAGCTGGAGGTAATATGGAGCTTAGACAAAGGGACTAGGATTCCTTCACAAATGTAAGGGAGCTCTCAAGGTGTGAAAAGGATTCTGGGGTGGGCATACAAGAGCCGGCAGTGGGCTGGGAACTTTGTAAGGCCAAGATTTCTAAATGGGAACCTGGCCTTCTAGCTTTGGGATCCTTTAAAGCACCTGAAACGGTAAGTTGGTGGGGGCTGGAGGCTGGTCACATGTTGTGAGTGAAGGCTGCCTGATTCCGGCTGGGTGGAGTATAAAGCAGCCTGTGCCCAGATGGCGAGGGTGTCGATGGGCAGAGAGAAGATTAAGCAGGAGTGAAGGGACCACACCACTGCCCCCTCTACAAGAGAAAGTGCATGTTTATCCTGTGAATATGCCCAGTGACTGTAGGGAGCCAGGGCTGGCAAGTCAACAAGCCAGGAAGAAATCTTTGCTTTGTCTACTCTGCTCCAGCCCCGCAGCAGCCACTGCCAAATCATGGCCTGGAGTGGAAAAAACAGTTAATTTTGAATTTGTGCTATTCAGTTATTTGATATGCCTTGCTATATTTCAATTCTGTCACTATGAAGTTATATTTGTCAACCTAAAAATAGAGAAGAATTTGCTAGTTTGATTTGTAACTTAAAATATTTAGACGTGGTAATGTTGGAATAGCCCTGGGACCTGCTTTTCCAAGCATAGCCTAGAAAACGCTGTGGTCCTAAGAAACAGACTTTCAGCTTATATATGCAGGGTGTCCAGGTAGCATTAAAGTGGCAAGGGAGGTAGCTACAGGAAGAGGAGACAGTACTTCAGGCATAAACAAGATCTAAGAGTTTCTGCATTTGCCAGATAGTAAATGCGCATGGGGAGGGGAAGTTGGGGAGGGCAGAGGATACCCAGATGGAGTCACTAAGATCAGTTGGATTGAAAGAAGCCTGGGATTGGAGTGAAGAGGCCATAGAGTTGAAATCAGAGGCAAATAGTAACCCACCTCAAAAGGCCACACTAGCAGCAGACACCTCAGTAGGCACCAGTCCAGGGACCAGTCCAGCGTAGCAGTGTGCAACAGAGACCTCCCACGCCCCACCAAGACTCAAATATACCCAGACAGCAAGAAGCAGGAAAAAAAAAAAAAAAAAAAAAAAGCTACTGTTGAAATCGGAAGAGACTGAGACTGTTAGCTAACATATTCAAATGGCCCTTTTCCTTAGCCTTCTCTCATCCATTGATATCCAAAGACATGGGTAAATAAAAATGAAATCCATTTGAGAAAACAAATGTTATATTTTCTTTGCATATTGGACCATTTATTATGGTTTCGATCCTGCTACCACAGACTAAGATCATATTAGTTTTTTGGGGGGAGGAGTAAAGATCACATTGTTGATTTATACTGAGCTTACTCTTAAGACTATCTTTTAAAAATATAAATTTGCAAATAATTATGGGGGTCTCCACTACTTTCTCTACTCACACTGCTTTTTCTCTATCAGTGATTGGTTCTCAACTTTGAGTGTGCATCAAAACTACTTGGAGGGTTTGTTTAAAACACTAATGTCTAACTCCACTCCCAAAGTTTCTAATTCAGGAGGTCTAAGGTACAGCTAGAGAATCTGCGCTTTCTAACAAGTTCCCAGGTGATGCTAATGTTTCCATCTGCAGACCAAACTTGGAAAATTAGTGCTCTAAGTCCTGCATAAGTGGAGAAACATTATTCTGATTTCACTCTCACAGGTATACAGTTGGCATTAAAGAATATAATGAATTTCTTTATATTCTTTATATAAAGAATTAACACATATAAAGAATTAACCTCCCCCCAAACTTATTAGAACTTGATTTCCACACATTATCAATAATGGAATACCATTTTCTCCCACCTAGAATGAAAAACTTTTATGACTGATAAAATCCAGCGTGGCAAAAGATATGAGGAAACAGGTACTCTAATACCCGTCATTGTGTTTATGAATGGCTACACTTTCTGGATAGCAATTCTAGGCAGTAACTACCAATATTTTTACAGCATAAATCCTTTAGTCCACGAATTTCTTCCTCAGAATCCTATAAAATAACTGAATAAATGATGTTCACAGCAACATTTGTGAGTTTTAATAACCTAAATTTCTCTTAATAGGAGGAATATTAAAATGTATCGAGTCATAAAAAAGCATCTTCTAATTAATTCTATAATTTAACCACTGAATAACTATCTACAGTATGTTCTGTAATACAAAAAAGATATTCTGTAAACGAATCTCATTTGTGGGTGTTCTAGTGTGATACTCAATTGCTAAAATTTAAATGACAAGAAAATCCATTAACAGGCTAGCATACTACTTAGTTGCTCTTTATCAAATCGATTTTAGTGATTGTTTTTCTTCACTCCTTAGAAATTTCATAAAGCTCTACCAAACTCCTTGACTTGCTCATGCAGGATTAAATGAGATGGAAATTGGCTTTGAGACTAAATTCATAATCTTTTACTTTTACTTCACAATTTCTCCAGTGAATTATATCTTTCATGTTCCCATTCATACTTTAACCTTTTGACACATTTATAGACTCACAAGAAGTTGCAAACAAACGTGAGGTCCCACGTGCCAGTTACCAGCTGCTTCAATGAGGACACCTTATATGCTGGTAGTGCATTACCAGTTGGTTCAGGGAATCCCACACATACTTTTAATGGCCACCCTTAATTTAGTTAGAGCCTCAAGATCTTTACTG